TTTCCAAATTTATTAGAATATCATTTTTCACAATATTCTCTTATCCTTTTAATGTCTGCAGAATCTGTATTGATGCGAATTCTTTTGTTCTCATTATTAGTAATTGTGTTTTCTCATTTTTTCCCCTAATCATCCTGGTCACAAATTATAAATTTCATTATTAATCTTTTCAAAGAACCAACTGTTAATTTCACTGACTTTATATATTTTTTTCATATTCTATTTCACTGATATCTACTCTTATCTTTACTTTTCTTCTGTTTACTCTGGGTACACTTTGCTCATGTTTATCTGATACAAAAGCTATATCACTAATTTTAAGCCATTCACTTTTCCTAACACAAGCATTTACTGTTTTACAAATATTGATTAGGTAGAGTTAGCTAATAAAATGGTTCAAGTCTTCTATATTTTTACTGGTTTTTTTTGTATGTTTGTTTGTTTTTGTCTACTTGTTCTATCAAATACCAGGAGACAAATGTTGAAATATCAACTGCAATAGTAGGGTTGACTATTTCTCCTTTCAGTATGTCAGTTTTATTTTGAAGTTACATTTGCATTTAGGATTGTTATGCACTTTTGGTGGCTTGATCCCTTCTATTATTACAAATTGTCCTCTCTCTTTTTCTCTTGAAAATCTACTTGTTTAATATTAATATACCCTAACCAAATTTCTAATTATTACTGTTTACATATCTTTTCCTCCATCTTGTTTTTACATTATGCATATTTAATTTCAGTTTCTTATAAAAAGCACATAGTTGCCATCTTGCTTTCTTATACAGTTTGACAATCTTCACTTCTAAATGCAGTGTTAAGTCTATTTACATTTAATGTAATTCTTGATACAGTAGGTTTAAGCCATCCAATTGTTTGCTATTTGACTATATGTTCCTTGCTCTTTTCTCCACCTTTCTTGATATCTCCTCCCCCTTTTCTGGATTAAGTATTTTTTATTATTCCATTTTATCACTCCTGGCTTATTATCCATACCTTAAGTGGTTGGTCTAGAGTTTATAATATGTATGTTTAGCTTATCACAACCTCACTTCAAATAATATTTTAACACTTTGCGTATAACACAAGAATTTCTATTTCCCTACCCATTTTTTGTCCTGTATTTTTTTACATATTTTATTGTATATATGCTTTATACTAAAGAATTAGATATTATTTATTCTCTAAACATTAGTCTTTTATAGAAATTAAGAAATGAAGAAAATAAATCTTTTATATTTATTCACTTATTTACCATTTCTTGGGTTCATCACTACTTTATACAGTTTCAAGTTTCCATCTGGTGTTATCTCTGACTAATGAGCTCATATTAGGTTAGTGGAAAACAAAGACTGTGCTTAATCCATCTCTTGGCCCAGAGAGTGCTTCACATAGCACCTGAAACTTCGGAGGTGTGGGCTTAAAGAATACAAAGAAGTACTTCCAATATAGTCTGTTAAGTGCTTTATTAGAAATACAAGGAATGCACAGGGGAACCCACAGAAAGACCAACCCACCCTGCCTAGTCAGGCTCAGGAAAATTTTATAAAAATGGTAACATAGATAAAAAGCAAATATAGTTTCCAAAAGGTTAAATGAAAGAATGATAGTTTAAGAAAGATAACAGTTTTAGAAAAAGATGTGTGCAAAAGCTCATTGGGGTAAACTGCCTTGACATATCCTAGTGATGGTGGGAAATGAAGTGGATTGTATTAGGTAATTAAGTACGAAATGTCTGATTTCCTTAAGTACTAAGTTAGACAGTTGATATCTCTGACATTTCACTTTGACACTTCCTGTTTTATGTTTATTGTGAAGGTACATCCTCAGTCTTTCAAAAGCACATTTGGGCCTGTGATTATCTTTCACATTTTCTTTAGAGCAATTTTTGTGAAAGCATGGATAAGTCAAAAATTCATGTTATTTTCAAATATGAGTTCCATTATGCCACCAATGCAGCGCAGACAGCTTGAAATATCAAGGAAGTGTTTGGGAAGGATGTGGCTAATGAACGCACAGTACGTCGACGGTTCAAGGAGTGCCATTCTGGTGATCTTAATCTTGAAAATGAGCCATGTGGGTGACCTAAGACCAAGGTGGATAACGATGAGCTGAAAGCGGAAGTGAATCCATCTGAACCTACGCGTGAATTAACAGCGAGGTCTGACACTACTATTCCAACAGTACTGGACTATTTGAAACAAATCAACAAGGTAAAAAAGCTGGATAGATGGGTTCCGCACGAATTAAATGAATATCAGAAGAGAAATCGACTCGAAGCTTGCCTTTCTTTGCTGTCACAACATAAAGGCAAACCATTTCTACACCATATTGGTACATGTGATGAAAAATGGACTCTGACAATCGCAAGCATTCTGTACAATGGATTGATACAGATGAAGTGCCAAAACACAGTCCAAAATGGAATATTCATCAGAAAAAGCTATTGGTGTCTGTTTGGTGGTCCAGCACTAGCCTCTGGTCCATCCACTACAGCTTCATGAAACCTGGTCAGTCGATTTCAGCAGATGTTGGATGAAAACCAACCAGTTGGATTAAATGATGAGGATGCTTGTGATGAAACAGCTGAGATTGGTCAATAGAGACAGGCCAATCTCTTGCAAGACAATTCTCAACCACATGTCACACAAACAACACTGCTCAAACCACAGAAGCTGGACTTGGAAACTCCTGTCATCCACCATATTCACCAGACCTTGCACCAACTGACTACCACTTCTTCCAGGCTTTAGACCACTTCTTGCAAGGAAAAATATTCAATTCTCAACAAGCTGTGGAAAATGGCTTTTGTGATTTCATCACCACTCACTCTCCAGGCTTCATTGCTGCTGGCTTAAACAAGCTACCTTTAAGATGGCAGAACTGTATCAATAGCTTAGGCACATACTTTGATTTATTGTACTGCTTCTTGTTTGAGATATAATAAACTACACTTTTGATTCCAAATTGGGCATTTCATATTTAATGACCTACATGAACTGTGCAATTAGGGTAAAGGAGCAAAAGAAGAAGGTCTAGGTTGGATCTCTAAGCACCCTGAATATCACAGGAAGGACTTTGTACTTTATCTCATAAACACTGGGAAAGTCTTTAGCAGGGCAGTAGCACAGGAACACTTGTATTTAAAGGATGACACAGGACAAGACTGAAGGCAGGGAAACTGATTGGGCATCTCTGTCTACAGTGACAAAGATGTGCAGTGGAATGCAGAAGGCAATCAGAGACATTTCAGAGGCCAGTGATCACGGGACCTGGTGATTAACTAGATTTGGGAATAACAGAAAAGGAGAATTAGAAGAAACCAAATCTCAATCCCAACAGTAGGGAAAAGAAACATGTAGGCCAAAAGAAAAGAGAGCAGGGTCCCCGCTGGGGAACTGGATCCACATACCACCTCCACTGGGGGATCAGGATCTGCATACCACCTGTGCTAACAACAAATGCTTCCAAATCTATGTTTGCAGCATTTTTCTCATCTTAAATTGTCATTTAGAACTGCAGGGGCCATGACGTGAAAGCCAGATAGCAGTAGAAGGCAAAAAAAAAAAAAAAAAAAAAAAGAACTCAGTGACAACCTGTGCTGCTTCCAAGAATTATTTATATGGGAAATGGCAGCAGGAGATGAGGGGATGAGAAAGAAACACACACCAGGTTCATGATGGAGCAAATCTAATGCACAGAAAGGGCTTGAAATACTCTAATATTGTCTGGCAGCAGTCTTGGCCAAACCCTCCCCAGGGGCAAGCATTTTAATGCTTTATACAAATTCAAAATAGAGGTGAGCCTTGGCTGGAAAGGCTCTTACTCTGAGGACTGAAAAAGTGATAGATGATGAAATGTGATGCTAAAAGACCCAGCTAAGCCATTAATTCTTGCTGAAAGCATTCTCCAATGGCTGGGAAGAAAAACAGTCTTTCCTATACACTAAAACCACACTTACGATTTGGAGCTGTATCACTGTAAAGGCATTTTTAGGTCAACATTAACATACCTCTGTCAACATACCTCTATGTTGGGGGGTGCTGCATGTGAGGCCCCCACGCCTGTTCAAGGACAGACCTGTTTGGCATCACTGCTGCTGTCACTCTATTAATAGAGAGTAAACAATAGGACCCCAGGCTGCCCCACCCCTGTGAGCAAGGCCCTGCTGAACAGGAACATAGGGAAGAGCTCAGTGGTGACCAGCCCCTGCTTCCCAAAGTCTGCTGGCTCCAGGCTAGGAATCTGAGCATCAGAGGGTCTCCGGCTGGCTGGAGCTCCACTTACAGCTCTCAGACCCATTATTCCCACTTTACCAGAAACGAAATTTTGGGATGATAAACTGTCATTCTCCCACCTTGAAGAAGAACACCCCTATTATCTCTTGCCATTTCTGGGTTTAAAGTAGACAAACTGTCCAATTTCCTTCTCCCTAAAGGATGACTAGGTCTGGAAAAGTAAACTGGAAAAAAAGTCTTTGTATGAGAAGGGCTCCCTGGGTAGAAATGATCTCATGCTCCAAATGGTTGGGAGCACCATGAGATGCTGGATAGCCAGGCCCTGAAAACAAGGCACTTGTCTTACTGGGATGCCAGGAGTGATGCAGAAAGAGATGCTGGGCTCCTCCAGGAGTCCCCAAGACACGTGGCTTTCTACTGAGCCCCCAGCTAATAGGAGAGGTGAACCAGACTACAGCAAGGCCCAGGCTGAGCAGGAAATGTGTCTGCACAATGAGATCCACCTACATGAACACTGCAATCGTCAGCATTATTATGACAGCATGTTATTGATATAATGTGTAAAGCCCATTCGCTTACAACCACCTGAAGAGGCAGTTCCCATATAAGGTCTGTTATTCTAATGAAGAACCTAAATCAAATAGGGGCTAAGCAACTTGGTATCATGAAGGCAGGACCAAAACACACACTGAGGTCAGTATTCCAAACTCAGCTGATTCTGTCAGACTCTAGAACAAGGCTGCCTCACAGCAGTGAAACGTTTACCTGGTTGCTGGGAGAGTACTGACTCGGGTGAAAAACACAGATGGCTCAACTTCTACATGCAGCCCCAGGGAGAGGTTCCTGTAATATCCTTCCATGTGGCCCGGGCCTCCAGAGTATTTGAAATTCAGGATAGCTTCCAGGGTCTAAAGAGATGCAAAAAAAAAAAAAAGGTAAGTTAGTACTCCCTACATTACGTTGATCAATGTTCCTTACCAGGAGGCAGGTTTCACCTTCACTTATGAAGAGTCTGAAGATAATCCCAACTGGTAAAGTTATCAGCAGTAGGCAACTCTACTCACTCACTCCCAGTTGAGACCTGGTACCATCTTTCCTATGATGCCTCAGTGTCTACACAATTCTCAGCCTGCATATGCAAATGGACAAGGGCTCTAAAGTTTACTCTGTGGTTGGATAGAGCATTTTAGAGAGAAAAACACTTCAGTGGGCACCACTTAAACACACACATCAGATGAGGGGCAGGGAAGTAGGTATTTCCATCAAGGAGGAAGAGCACAGCTCCCAGGCTAATAGTGAGTAAAAACTGACAAACTCCACACTCATAACACCTTCCTGAATTTGTCTGAGACATGAGGTCACAGCACAACAGGAACCCTTCCAGAAGGGGCAGGATGCTACACCTTCTCCCCAGAAGCAGAGCAGGGGATAAGGAGGCACCAGCCACTCAAGGGTAATGAATTGCTAAAGGCTGAGTAGGAGCCCACATGATAATGCAAAGAACCCCCCACCCCCTAACCCCTGTCCGCCAGCCCAGAAAGGAGGGCGGTTCCCAGCCACTCCCAGGCTCTCCTCCATGGATCTCCCCAGGGTGCTCACACAAAGGACTGCTGGGAAGGCAGGAGAGCAGAGACACTTCCTTCCCCCACCCCAGTGCTGGGCACAGTACAAAACTGAGCACGGAGGAGAGGGTCAGCCACCACCATGGGACAGGTGAGAAACTAAGACCTCAGCCCAACTCCCACCCCAGTGGAGTGCCCACCCAGACCCTTCTTTCCTATGAAACAAAATCTTCAATTGCTGGGGGAAAAGTAGCAGCAACCCTGAGGCACAAAGGTAAGGGTGAGAGGCCCCTCTCCAGGAGGCAGTCCTGAGCCAGGATGCCACACCACTGCCATAGGAGGGGTCCTGCCACCCGGGGCAGGGGCAGGGAGCCGCTCATACACAGCACCCATCAGGCCACAAGGCGAAGCCCAGCTGCCATAGGCAGCAGGGGCAGGAATACCAAGAAGGCCCTACAGGAGACCCAGTCACACAGCGCCTGGGGCTGAGGAGGCACAAGGATGACAGCACCTAGAGAAGAAGCCCCACTGGGGAAGGAAGAGAGGTGTGGAGAGACACTCAGGGTGCTGACATGTAGAAGAGCTGATTGCTGAGCAGGGAGGGGAGCATTACAGAAACCCTGTTTTCTTCACCAGAGGAATTTGGAGCCTGTGGGGGCACCAAAAGTAACCATAGCAACAAGAAATCCAAGCCCAGCTCAACTCCTGCCTGAATGACCCAACCTTCCACAGTAATGTCCTAAAACAGGAATCAGCAAACTCTGATCCTGGGGCCAAATCTCACCCACAGCCTGTTTCTGTATGGCCTGAGAGCTAAGAACAGTCTTTACATTTTTAAAGGCAGTAAAACAAAAGAAAACAAAAACAGAGAATATGCACAGAGACCATATGTGGTTGGCAAAGCCTAAAATATATACTATATGGCCCTTTCCATAAAAAAAAATTATGGACAAAACTCTTACAAAGAGGCCCCGCGTGGTGGCTCCTACCTGTAATTCTAGTACTTTGGGAGGCCAAGGCAGGAGGATTCCTCGAGGCAGCAATTTAAGACCAGCCTGAGCACCATAAAGAGACCCCCTAACCCCCACCAACAAAAAATAGAAAAATTAGTGTCTGCTACTCTGGAGGCTGAGGCAGGAGGATCACTTGAGCCCAGGAGTTGGAGGTTGCAGTGAGCCATGATAACTCCACAGTACTCTAGCCCAGTCAACAGAGCAAGAACTCCTGTCTCAAACAAAAAAAAAAGGGAGAAGATATAGGAGTAAATCTTCGTGACCTTGGATTAGGCAATGGTTTTATAGATATGACACTAAAAATACAAGCAACAAGCAAAAAAGTAAAAGGACAGTGTCATGGAAATCCGAGAAGGGCAGAGCTTCAGGAAGAAGGGCCAGAAACGTCCACTGCTGCAGGGAAGTCATGGCAAATAAAGGGTCTGGCACTGACCCTGCCCAGTCAGGGCCCAAAGTCACGTGCTAAGTGCAGAAGTAAAAGCACGCTCTCTCACCTGGCAAAAGCAACCAAAGCCATGTTTCCAAAAGGCTGGAACAGGGCTCTTGCCTTCCTCTCTTCCTCCCTAAGCTTCAAGAGTCTCAGGAAAGTTGCACTTAGCCTTTGATTATTGCTTTTGTTGACAACCTACTTCTCCTCTACAATGGTGGCGCAGCCACAGCTATAGAATTTTTTAAAAATAAAGAAAACAGCCTGTATGTGCATGGTGTCATCGTGAGGGCATGCCGAGGAGGAGAAGGACTTTCCCGTGGGAAGGCCAGCTGACAAAACCTGGCCGCCAGCACTGCAGAGGGAGAGCAGGTGTGGACACCAGCTACCTGGTTTGCCATTCTGGCTCCATGTGATCTTGGGCACATCACCTCACCCTTCTCAGCCTCAGGTTCTCCTTTGTTAAATGGAGATGATAATTAACATAGATCGCACTACATGTTAGTGAGGACTCAATGAGAAAATGTAGTAGCAGAACAAGTAGTCACTCATTAAACGAACTCCTTTTTCCCTCTGCAACCTTACCCATCTGATATCCTGGGGCAACAGGGCTTAGAATGGGAGGAAATGGGTTTCAGTCCTATTTCTTCTATGTTTTTCACTCTTTTTATCGTGGTAAAATACACATAATGTAAAAGTTACCACTTTAACTGTTTTTAAATGAACAGTTCTGTGGTGTTAATTACATTCACACTGTTGATGAACCATCACCATCGTCTATCTGCAGAAATTTTTCATCTTCCCAAATTGAAATCCTGAACTCATTAAACAGTAACTCCCCATTCCCCCTTTCTCCTGCCCCTGATAACCTTTCTACTTTTTGTCTCTATAGATTTGACTACTCTTGGAACTTCATATAAATGTAGTCAGATAATATTTGTCCTTTTTTGACTGGCTTATTTCACTTAACATAATGGCCATGTTGCTGCATGTGCCAGAATTTCCTCCTTTTTAAGGCTGAATAATAATATCCCATCGTATGTATGTATCACATTTTATTTATCCATTCATCTGTCAATGAACACTTGAATTGCTTCGACCTTCTGGCTCTTGGGAATAGTGCTGCTATGAAGAAAGGTTGTACAAATATCAAGACCCTGCTTTCAGCTCTTTTAGGTATATACCCAGAAGTGGAATGTCTGAATCATAGGGTTATTATATATTGAATTTTTTTGAGGAATCACCATACCATTTTCCACAGTGGCTGTACCATTTTACATTCCCACCGGCAGCGCACAAGGGTTCCTATTTTCCCACGTCTTCACCAAACACTTGTTATTTTTTGTGTTTGTGATAATAGCCATCCTAACAGGTGTGAAGTGGTACCTCACTGTGGTTTTGATTTGCATTTCCCTGATGACTAGTGATGTTTAGCATATTGTCATATGCTTATTGGCCACTTGTGTATCTTCTTTAGAGAAATGTCTATTAAAGGCCTTCATTTTAAAAGCTCCTCCTACAACTCCTCGAAACATCTTCCATGCCTACATGTTTACAAGTTCCCTTCAACTTTTGTACTATCAGAAATAACTTTAGAGATTCTCTCCACCTATATAAATATTACTCCTCCTTGATGGCCCAGATAAAGCCACATCTTCTCACTAAAAAAGTGCTCAATGAAATACATTTTTTTTTAATATTCAAGGATCGTATTATGGTCTTACCAAAATCCCAAATCCTTTTTCCACTCCCCTTAGCCCTATCATCTCCAAAGGGTTGCTGTTTTCTTGTGAATGTGTCTTAAACCTCTTGGAATTGCCCTTGTCATCAGCAGAAGGTGAGACCCGACATATACACACTCCATAACCTTTCTGTGAAAACTTCGAGTCTAACTGACTCTCATCTATTTGATCTATTCTTTCATTTATCTTTTCAAACGCTTGCTGGGTATCTTCTGAATGCCAGGTTCTGTGCTTAGTTAGTACAAGATGAATGAGATGTGGTCCCTGATTGCAGAAAGCTCAGTAAATGCTGAGTGAATAAATGTATGAATAAATTAACTAATAAATAAACGAAACCAGCCATCACCCAACACATATATGGCATCTTCCTCAAACTGCAGGCAAAGTGGTCAAGGAAATAAACAGACTCTCAATAATAGCCTTAGAGAGCCAAAATCTGTGAAGTAACAACAAATATCACACTGGCTATTTTGTTTTTTTAAGGTAAACTTAAAAGTCATTTCCAGAGAGCGATGTAGAAAAAATCACCCAGAGAATGAGCAAAAAATACTGAAATACATAACTGTTGACATAACAAAGAAATAGTCTGTGTTTCTATTTTCTTGGAGTTGGCTGGTTCTTTACTCTGTAGAGAACCAAGGAAAAGATATAATTATGGGGGAAAATACCTAATTTATGAAAATTGATCCCTGAAAAGGTCATGTGAAATTGAGTATTACTACCTTTCTCCTTAATTTAAAAAAATAAAACAAACAAAAATCCTCCTCAGCCTGGTAAAATTAGAATATTTTCACAAAAGCATAAAGTGCGTTGATAAGGCCAAAGACACAGATGCCCAAGCTTTTTCTCAGTCCCAGGTAATAAGAAGCTGGGTCCTACTTGGCATAAGACTTTCCCTTCTGAATATTTCTCAGTCTTCACTTTGAGAGAAGACTATTACAACAATCAGTAATGAGAAAGGCACCAAAAATAAAATATTTCCTAGGCATATTACAACTTACTGTTCAAGCTAAAATGAAAGGCCTTCAATGGCTACCTTTTACTGAGCACCTAGTAAGTGCCAAATGCTCCACTAAGCAATCCATGCACATTGACTGTAATAGTCCTAAGAGCACGACAAGGAGAGGGCTGTTTTCATAAATGAGGCTCGGGGCAGCTAAGTGA